GGGAAAAAAAAGAGCTGATACCAAAGGCTCAAATAGAAAGTAAATGTTTAGAAAATGGTGATGGCAACCTATGTACAAATATGCTTGATATAATCGATGTATGGACTGTTATAAGAGCTAGAACAGCCCCCGATAAAATGATTTTAAAAAAAGAAATTATAAAAAGGAACCAAACAAAATCTCTGGAGCTCAAAAGTGTAACAACGTAGGCGAACAATTCACTCTCCCACTCCCCACTGCTGGAGAGTGGATTCTAAGCCATGGCCACCTGATGGGACACAGGTTTCCTGCCCTGGAGGGTTCCAAGGATGTCACTCTTCTTGGAAGCAGGCTGGCACATCCCTTCCCAGGGGAGCAGCTGGTGGGCTCAACTGCCAACCTTTGGGTTAGCAGCAAAGCACTTTAACCACTATGCAAGTGGGGTTAGACAAAGTACCAGAGGGGAGCTGCAGCAGGTTAGGTCAGGCAGATACTGGACCAATGAAAGTGAAAATAAGACCCCACAAAAAACTGAGTGTGAAAGCAGAGAGAAAGAAAGAATCATAAAAAAAGGATGGAGCTTGAGGCACTTGTGGGACACCATCAAACGTACCATAGAAATTCGACAAGGTGCTGAAAGGGACCACTACCCCCGCTATGCCAAAAACAAAACAAAACCAAAAAAACACTAAAGAAATACCAATAAAAGACTACCAAAATTTGATCAAAGGCAAGAATATACACAGCCAAGACATCGATGAACTCCAAAAAAGAAAAACTCAAAGAGATGTACACCAAACATATTATAGCCCAATTAGAAGATAAAAATAAGCAAGCCAGATGCCCTGAGCACCAGCCAGAGGGCAGCAGTCACATGCAAGGGAGGGGTCCTTCATAAGAGTAGAAGCTCAACAAAAACATCCCTAGAAACCAAGGTGTTTGAAAGGCAGTGGGATGACTTAAAAGGACCAAAATGTGTGTGTGTGTGTGGGGGGGGGCGGGCGGGATGGGACGGGACACCAACCAAGAGTTCTCTATTCATCAAAAATCCCATTCAAATATGAAGGGTAAGGGGGTGTTCCATTACCTACAGATGGGCTTTGGGTCTCCACTCTGCACTCCCCCTCATTCACAATGATATGATTTTTTGTTCTTTGATGCCTGATACCTGATCCTATCAATACCTGGTGATCACACAG